CGTTCCAGATCACAAGCGATTGTCACCCTCACGGTCACGCCCACGGACCACGCCCGAGGCCCCGCTCAGAGATCTGAGTGTCTAGTTACCGCGGGCCCAGTTCCAGCTCCCTTCTCTGAATAACCAGGACCGGCTTTGATCGCGGTTTCCTCCTTGGCCTCTCGGCTGGGCACCGCTTCCCTAGTCTGACCTCCTGGCCCCGGGCTTCCCGGTCTCTCCTTCTCTAGGGCCCCTAAGACTCACGCGTCTAGGACCCAAACACCTCACTACGGCCCACTGTCGGTCGTCTGCGCCTGCGCACTCCCGTGCGCGCCGGAGCTCCCAGGAGCCCGCAGGGCCTCGCGTATGGAGCCGGAGATCCCAGCTGCTGCAGCGCAGGTCGGCTTGTGTCTCTGTCCGCGCTTTTCCGGCTTGGGCTATGTTTGTCACAGGCCCCTGGGGGAGCTAATGGACGTCGACTTCTTGTTCACTTCACGCCAGCCCTGCGGTCACCGTGATCTGCGTGGTGAGTGGAGGGGACACGGGGTCGGGGCTGCGGAAGGACGTAGGAGGCCCGGAGGTTTCCGGGTGCGGGTGCGGGTGCGGATGGAGGCAGAGGCAGCTGGCTCGGGCTGTGTGAATCACCTGCTGAGGAAGGTGATGGAGCGGGCGGGGGTGCATGATTATATGGCTGCATCAGCTTGGGATGTAATTATGAGAGTGCGTGTCTGTGTGTGTAAGAGAGAGCGTGTGTGTTGTGTGTGCCTGTGCGTGCCTGGGATGTCTGCGTGGTAGGCTCCGGGGACCGTGAGTGGGGTGGGGGTGGACCCTTTAATACAACCAGGGTTGGCTGTGACTGTGAGGTGCGTTATACTGTGACCAAGTGATGCTGTGACTGGAGACTAATCAAAATTGTCATAGTCTAGCTTTCGTTACTTTTAGGAAGATAGTTTCATTTTTAAAAATTCTTAATTGTTTAAAGTATTACATATAGTATTACATATGTCTCCTTTTCCCCTCCATTGACCTCTCCTGGGCCACCTGCAACCCCAGCACATGCCTTCACCCCCTAGTGTCTGTGTCCAATGGTTATGCTTACATGCATGCATACAAGTCTTTTGGTTGATCTCTAACCACCTCCCCCCCTCACCCTCACCTTCACTCTGAGGTTTGACAGTCTGTTGGATGCTTCTCTGTCTTTGGATCTACTTTTCTTCAGCAGTTTATGTTGTTCATTATATCCCACATCTACTGTGTAGATGTATCACAGTTTTCAAATCCACTCATCTGCTGATGGGCACTTAGGCTGTTTCCAAATCTTAGCTATGGTAAATTGTGCTGCTATGCACATAGGGGTGCATATATCCTTTCTGATTGGTGTTTCTGTTTTCTTGGGATATATTCCTAGAAGTGGGATCACTGGGTCAAATGGGAGCTCCATTTTTATTTTTTTGAGGAAACTCCATACTGTTTTCCACAGTGGCTGCACCAGTCTGCATTTCCACCAGCAGTGAAGGAGGGTTCCCTTTTCTCGGAATCCTCTCCAGCACTTGTTTGTTTGATTTTTTGATGATGATGATAGCCATTCTGACAGGTGTGAGATGGTACCTCATTGTCATTTTGATTTGCATCTCTTAGATGATTAGTGACTTTGAGCATGTTTTCATGTCTCTTGGCCTTCTTTATGTCTTCTTTTGCACAGTTGATGTAGTCCCATTTGTTTATTTTCTCCTTAGTCTCCATTGCCCTAGGAGCTGTATCAGTAAAGATATTGCTATGACAAATGCCTGCTATTTTGCTGCCTATGGCTTCTTCTAAGATTTTTATGGTGTTCCGTCTTACGTTTAAGTCCTTTATCCGTTTTGAGTTTATTTTTGTGTATGGTGTAATTTGGTGGTCTAGTTTCATTTTTTGGCAAGTATCTGTCCAGTTTTCCCAACACCATTTATTGAAGAGACTATCTTGTCTCCATTGTATGCTCTTGCCTCCTTTGTCAAATATTAATTGAGCATAATGGCCTGTGTTGATTTCTGGGTTCTCTGTTCTGTTCCATTGATCTATATGTCTGTTCTTGTGTGGGGTGATTGGACCCTCATGTTGTAATTGGGTGTTTATTGCTGATGGTCTTTTTGTAGTTGGAATCCACCCTCAGGCTAATTATGAGGCTCAACCCCACACCACTGTACAAACTTCTGTGAAGGTACAGTCTTGAGGTTTCTTGATGGGCTCAGTGGAACAATCATTAACCCTTCAGGCTGGGTATCTATAGAGGCAAACCTTTATTGCAATGTATAAGACACTATTCAGGGGCTGCTCCCCAAGGTGAGGTTGTTCCTAGCAGGGTCTGGAGCCTCCTGAGATCCACCTTTGGGTGTACAGTTTGTATGTCTAATTGGGTTGAACTTTTGTTGCATTGGTTCTGGGTCCTTTTGAGTGGGTTTCAGATGCAGATGGCTGACAGATGTTGGGTATAACTGTTCGTGGGCTTCTTGTGTTTAGTTAAAACTCTGTTCACTGTTAGACCTGTGTGTTCAGGGGAAGGACCAATCTATGCAAATGGGTTGGCTTTGTTTAGCTTAGTGCTGGTGGTAGATCTGTGGAGACCCATGCTCCCTGAAGTCCTCCTCTCTTGTCAGCTACTCTGACTCCCATCTGAGGTTGCTTGGTCTTCCTCCAGAGCATCCAAAAAGAATCTTCAGAATGGACCCAGGCTAGCCTAACTTGAGATAGTAGGCCCTGTGCTTGTAGTCAGACACCCAATGAAGGGAAACTACTCTGCTTCAAAACCAAACTTCTCAGTGTAAGCATGTCAAACTCATGGCCCGCGGGTTGCATTCAGCCCACAATGGATATTTTTGTGGCCCAGCCAATGCAACGGTATGTCAGAAATGTTTTAATAAAAATTTCGTAACTTAATTTTTACAATATCCTGTTATACATAATTATTAATAACAAACTACAATGTTCGCTAATGGCTGATTACTATAATTGTGTTGCATTCATTTCCCTTATGTGCCTTATGTGCAGGCGCACCATTTCTCTTCACTAATACTAGCAGCGAATATTTTAGCAGCTGATTGCCACGTCATTAGTCTTGTACTGACTTGGTGGGCGCAACAGGAAATATTTTGCTTTCAGAGAACAAGAAAAATAGGTTTATTTGCATATGCTTATTAACTTATGCAGTTATTCAGTATCTGGTAAGTTTTAATGTTCAAGAAAAATATTAATTTTTATTAAAATGTCCTATTATTTTATGTTAACGATTATTCATTTATTTCAGCCCTTTGTATTCAGCATGTCTCTATCAAAATAAACCTATGTTTCTATGAAAATTGAAACTTGTTTTTTTGCAGCCCACTAAACTTAAACCTTGTTTAACATGTTTGTTTCAGTGTCTATCAGAGACTCCAACTCTAATTCCCCCTAAGGGGGCTTGCTGCAGGTTCAGGTTGGGTACAGTCTGCAGTCTTCTCTGCTGGAGTAGTTTCAGTTCACCTGGGCTCAAGGTATTGATCAAAAGAGATGTCAGTTCAATTCCTGGTCAGGTTGTGTGCAGGTTGTGGGCTCAGTCCCTGGTGGGGATATGCGGGTGCGGGGGCGGGCGATTGATTCTTTTTCATCATTGATGTTTCTATCGCTCTCTCCTTCTCCCTTTCTCCTGAAATCAATTATATATATATATATATATATATATATTTTAAAAGAGTCTCTTTCCTTTTTTTTTTAAATATATTTTATTGAGTTTTTACAGAGAGGAAAGGAGAGAGATAGAGAGCTAGAAACATCGATGAGAGAGAAACATCGACCAGCTGCCTCCTGCACACTCCCCACCGGGGATGTGCCCGCAACCCAGGTACATGCCCTTGGCCGGAATCGAACCTGGGACCTCTCAGTCCCCAGGCCGACGCTCTATCCACTGAGCCAAACCGGTTTCGGCAGAGTCTCTTTCCTACACGTTTCCCAAACGGAAGAAAAAAAAAGAGTCTCTGATTGAGGATGTTGTAGGCCTCACCCCGAGGAGGGGGGCTAAGCACTTCCTCCAGTTCCAAGAAAATAGCCTTTGAGGGTCTCACATTTGCAATGTGCTGCTCTGAGCTGCTCTCCCATTCCCCACAGAGCTGCACCCAGCATGGGTATCCAGGACTTCACAGAGCTGAAACAACCAATCTTTTGTTGGGAGTGGTGTTTATGGCCTGCAGGAGGGGAAACAGGCTCTACTTCTCCTTCCCGGGGCTGCCTAGGGGAACTCACAGGGAACTCACATCAGCCTCCCCACCATGCAGTCACAGAACCCAGCATTCTTCCAGTTGTATCCCCAATAGGAGCCTCCCTGGGGGATTGTAGCTGGACATTTGTAAACAAGGATCTGAAGTCCTGCCAAGAAGAAGTGAATGTTCACAACGTGCTGGGTCAAGATTGCACAGTCTTGAGTTCCCGGAACATTTACCTCCCGAGAAAGGATAAGATTAAATAGTCGTGGGTAGAGCAGAAAGGGAGGGCACAGCTGCAAGTTGTCTTCAATGTGCTATTTGTTATAATATAGAACAAAACAAGATTTAGTTGATTAACTGCTGATGCACTAACCTCGTGCCAAACCCCAATAAAAGCAATGGTTGAGGGTACAGAGTTTGTTACATGCCTGAGTGAGCTGTAGCCCTCTGTCCGGCAATCATTTGCTTGTGTGCTTGTCTTACCTCTGCGTCTTCGGTTCATTAAACATCCATCAACACTTGGCGCCCTGAATGTGGGACCTTAAGGTAAGTGCGGGGAACGCACAGGACCAAAAGGGAAAAAGTCTGCGACGGTTTACGCAAAACTTTCGGCAAGCCAGGCAGAGCAATGGGGAACTCCCCGACAGCAGAGAGTCAATATATGACTCTGCTGCATTCAGTGCTTAAAGCACTGGGGTTAGTGTGTCTCAAGACACTTTTAGGAAATTAGCTAGAGAAATAAGGCATTGTTATTGGTTTGAGCTGACAGGCAGAAATCAGTTAAATCTAAAGGTTTGGAAACAGGTTGTTCGTGTGATATGGCATGCTCATCAGAATGGAGATCCTATAGGACATGAAGTTTGGTCCTTGTGTACTTTGATTACTATGGCTCTTAAACCTTTGCAGTCAGAATCAGATTATGAGGCTGCTCCAGTTAAAGTTACTAGCTCTCGTTCTTGCTCCACTTGTGAAACTAATAAAGACATGCCTAATAGACCATCGCTTTCTTTGCCTCATGAAAATAATATGGAGCAAAAAAGGAACAATTTTGAACAGAAGTTGGAGGGATATGAAGATATAGAAGGGACTGATAAAGAGGGCATTCAGGATTTCTCAGAAAGTGAAACTAGTAGCACCGATTCTAGTAGTAGCGAACGAAAGAGATTAAAAAAGAAAAGCAAAACAAGGGATAATGAACAAGAGTTATGAAAAGATTTGCTGGTTCATATGAAGGCTTTAATATGAATCATGTTAAACCCACTAATAAGTTACAGGAATTAATAAAAAATGCTTTTCCAGTTCAATAGCCACTGTCAGAGGAGCCTGGAGTAACTCCCACGGCTCCTCCTCCAGACCCACCACATTATTCCAGAGGGGCACATCGGCAATTCCAGCTGCCCTTGCCTACTGAAATAAACAAAATATTACTAGATTTAGAACCTGGGGATGAGATTGTTCCTCCCACATGGAGAAGAAATGATGATTTCCTTGCATTTCCAATACAGCGGCAGCAAATGCACCGGATCTGCAACAATATCCCCAATATCCAAATGGTTAATGCAGAAAAGGAGGGGGGGCCATCGTCAGGGAGAGCAGGGAGAGAGAGTTTTTGTACTTATCTGAATTATGCTAGACTCAAGGCCACAAGCTGCTACTAAGCACAAC